TACCACTGGTGAGAGCAGAGAAGGCGGAGACCACTATGGAAAGCAATTTGGCAGTATGAAGCAAGAACCTTAAAACAATTCGCACACTTTGACCATGTAGTTCTACTTATGAGAAATAAAAAAAGACCTAGATACAGTGATTGCAGTGGGGTGGAGGGGGGGACTTGATTGTGGGTGAATGTAGTAACCACAATGTTACTCATGTGAAACCTTCATAAGATTGTATATCAATGATGCCTTAAAAAAAAAGACCTCAGTCATAGAGATAGATGATTGTTACAGCAATTATCTAAAACAAAGGAATGGCCAACTGAATTATGGCACAAATTATATATGTATACCAATATAGATAATACTTAAAAATAATTTGTAATAATGTAAGTGAGGGAAATGCAAGGGAAGTTTACACATACACACACACTTATTACACATACTTAAAACAAAGTAAGAAAAACTTAAACATAGGAAAAAAAACAGAAAGGTAATATGCCAAAATTCGAATAGTGGTCTGCAAATAGTGGGTTTAAGTGTTTTTTCTTGTTTCTAACACTGTGTTTTCCAAAATAAGTATATACTACTTTCATAATCAGAAAATAAACAAAGGCCGATTAAATGAATTTAAGAATTATGGGAAGAAAGGACCCTTACCCAAGGAGGTCACATTTCCATATGTCTCCAGCATCACATCCCAGTACAAAGCCCTCTGAATTGGGCTCAGACATGACCATTCCTCTGAAGTGAAGCATACTGATACTTCCTCAAACATCACCAATTCCTGAAATAACAGGTATGTCTAAGATTATCTATGGCCAGGAGCTCCCCTACTGAAAGGTTCCTTTAACTTCTGGGGAAGGGACACACTGTGAGGCCAGGAAGTGGGCAAGGGGTATCAGGCCCACATGAAGTTTGCCTTCCACTAGCATGGACCTTGATTTGGAGATGGGAACTGACTGGACACCTAAGTACCAGCATTAGAAAGAGCACTTCAGCCACAATTAGGTAGTGCAGATAGGGCCTTAGGAAGGAAAGAGGTTGCAAACCTTACCTGGGGCTGCGCTGTTAGGAGCATGAGGGCCATTAATTGATTTCTTGGGTTCTCTTCCTGGGAAAGTGCAGAAGCTTCAGGGGCAGGAGAATCTGAAGAAGGAGAAAAAGCTGCATGTGAGATTACTGCTGTTCCTACCTACTCTTCAAGTCTAATGTCTTCTACAAACAAGGAGTTCAGAAAGACCCAGAACTCCCACCATAGACAAAGATGGCTATGGAATGACCTACAGACCTTTTCTGAGTGACCTACATATGCAGGACTGGAATAACACAAAGAGTAGCAATAAGAATGGATAAAGGGTCAGAGAAACCCAGGAGAGAATGAGGGAGAATAGCAGAAAGAGCTTGGGACCATAAAAGATTCATACACAGGGCAGGAGAGGAGGCACCTATCTGGGAATAGGGGGAGATGAGCCACAGTAAAGGTCCTGAGAAAGTCCAAACACAGGGCCACTGAGTAAGTACCATGTTGAGGATCCTGGAGATTGAACACCACTGGGTCAGTAAAAGCATATGGACAAAATTCAGCAGACAAGGGGCTGCCAGTGGGTGTATGAAGTGTTGTTCCTGTAGTGCTCATACCCTCCTGGAAAGTGTCCTGGTCCCTGATGAGGACTGGAACCTGAGGAAAACAAAACAAAATGAGCTGACTCTTCTTGTACCTCCAGAAAATGGACTCACCTAACCACCATGAACCTCCTTCTGCCCACAATCTAGAACTGTGAGATCAGAGAAACCCATCTCAAGTATGGAGCATCAAAACAGCAGTAAAGCTTTGCCTTGAGAACAATGGAGCTGCCCGCTAGCCCCACTCATGGCACTGGTGACCTCTCCCAGAGGAGACTGAACAGAACAGTGGAAACAGAAGCCATACCTGGGTGTGGATTAAGGAGGGAATGGGAAGGAACAGGTAATAATTAAGAGCATGGGTTTCTAGCTTCAGACCTGGTTTTAGATCAGACCTGGGTTCCACACACTCTTCTACTTATTTAACCCTTTCTGCTCCAACAGAAGGAACACTAGAGTAGGAGTCTAGAAAGTTGCTTTTGCTTTTAGTGAGACATCTGATCTAAGGCAATCCAGTGAACCTTCCTCTCCCTTCATTTTTTTCTCTCTCAAAGGAGAAGGATGGAATAGTGATTTGTAATGAAATACAAAACTCTAAAATTCTTCACTTTTATGACTTTAACAAACAAGCCCATCCTTGGTACCACTCCCAAGTTTAAGCTATGTTTCAGACTTCTTAAATAGATATGTTTCTAGTGGGCTACAGACTGACAGAATGAGACCTCTCACACTCTAGAAATTATATTAAGATCCCAATTTAATAGTCAAGAAAATCTTCAAATATTTCAACCCAACCTATTGGCTATAGAATACCCAGTAGGGGCCACATGGGGTGGTCTTGACAAGTCTAGAAAGCTTCATTCTTGCTCTCACACTGTCTTTTATACTACAGGTTTACATCATCATTCCAAAGAGACTTACACAAATAGTATGCATGCTTCTGATCAGAAGAACACTTAGAAACATTATAGTCTTCAGGTTTTAGAACCAACCTTAGCATTAGCAAGCATCTCCCAGGGGTACAATGCAGTCAAAGCCTTTGTGCTGATTCTGAATTGACCCTAATCATAAATTCATTTCTCTACAAAGATATTCTATGGTTCTCAACAGCTCATGAACCTTCTTTAATTAGCATGAGGGTTACTAATCTGCTACTGTTAATGAAAATCACAGCATCACACTCCAGCCCAGCCTGTCCTGCCTTAATTCTCTCTTTCTTTCCAGCCCAAGCTCTCTCTCTTCTCCCTTTCTCACTTTTAGTTCTGGTCCATCGAGATCTTTCTGCAGCTCCTCTACAAGGGCAACGGCCTCCTCACCACTCCCGGGGCGATGGATCTGCACCCAGGTCCGAATCTCCCCAGGCAAGATGCTCAGGAACTGCTCCAGCACCAGCAGCTCCAGGATCTGGGCCTTGGTGCGGGCTTCTGGCCTCAGCCACCGGCGACAGAGCTCCCGCAGCCGGCTCAGCGCCTCCTGGGGTCCAGATGTTTCATGGTAACGTAACTGTCTAAAGTGTAGGTGGGAAGTCTCCCAAACAGAGGAGCTGCTCCCTTGGAAGCTCGTTCCCCATTTCCAGGTATCATCCTTCCCTTTAACAAGCCCCTCTTGTCTCAGGGCATTGTGGGTCCAATTTTCTCTTGTCATTGTTGTCGTTTAAGAAAGGCTCCTCTCCAGGCCCTCTCAATCTTTGCTTGAGTTCTTCCTTAGAACTTGAAGAACATCATCTATAAGACCTCAAGAAATAATTGTTAAAGTTAATCCAGAGAAACACCAAGTTTTCCAGATCCCAGTCAGCTCCCAGTGATGAAGAGAACCTCCCTGAACACAAAATTCTAGGCTCTGAGCAATGTCTCCTCTGACAGAAACCCCCTGCCCAAGGCTCTGGGGACACAGACACTCATGTTACCCAGACTGTCTTTGAAACCAAAGACATGAAATTCCTTTGGTCTTTATTCACAGTGTCTCCTCCACCTAATTACAATAAATCCTTTATCTACCACTCTAAACAGAGGGCACCCTGTCTACTCCCGTATGGCCTTGAACAAGTTACCTCATGTTTGAATCTTAGTTTCTTAACCTGTAGAACAGGGAGTAATAACATTTCCTATCTCACAGGCTTGTAAGGATTTGATATCTAAATACATTCAAGTTTTGACCAGTGCCTTGTATATGGACTCAAATATTAGTTATTATCGTAATGTAACTAGCACTCTTTCCTATATTCTATATGGTCAACAAGTAATCATGGTCTTAATCCTGATGCACATGAGATAAAACCCTAACACCTTCCCAATTAACAAAAAAAAGCTAAACTAAGTTTTGTGCAGCTCTGCTGCACATTCTTTGAATCCTCTGAAAATTATTCACTCTGTTGATCAAAATATTATTGAATTATCTGAAAATTCTTCATTCTTAATATTAATCCAAAAAACATTTGGAAATTTTTGAATAAGGTTTTATTACACAGAACTTATGCTTGTTGCTCTTTAGAAATAACATTTACTTTTCTTATCACAAAACATATAATTTGTAAAGTCAGAAAAGACATAGAAAACCAGAGAATAAATCACTGCTATTGCTTTGTACTATGTTCTTCTCTATGCACTGATTTGGATCACAAGATTGGACCCAATGATACTGCTCTGTAACTTGCTTTTCACACCTATTATGTGTGAACATAATATTCTTCATCATTATTTTTAAGAGCATGTGACCCTATTCATACTTAATTGGTCCTCTGTTTTTAGCATTTATTTTTACTTTTCTCCTATTATAAATTATGCTGCAGTAACTATCCTTGTTAGTGAATTTATGGTTACATCTATGCCTATTTTTTTTTTTTGGAAAACCATCCCCTAAAGGGGGAAAATATTGCATCAAAAGTAAAATAGCTTTAAACTTTTAAGATTGTAACAGTTACATCACTATCAATGACATATGAAAGCACCCTCATTCATTTTATTTAACACATGGCCCCTTAAGAAACATGCTTGTAAATGAGCAGAGGAGGCAGAAATATAAACAATTTCAGTATAAAGTATAAGTAAAATTAATAGGAGGTCATACAAGCATAGGAAGAATTCCTGAAAGGTAATTTTGGGTCAGGCTTTAAAGAAAAATAGAGAGCACTGGAGTACAAGAAAGAAAGAAACTATAATTTCAAAAGCATGGCAATGACAGCATGAATAGCTGTGTTAGAAATGAGCTTTGCAAACCAGAAAAGGGAAGTAAACTCTGGAGGTAAGGTTGTAAGAGTAGAGCGGAGAGATACAGAAGTTAAATTATAAAGGCTCTTGAGAGGCAGAACAAGGAGGTGATTGTGTACTATGAACGATAGGCAGCCAGTAAAGGATTTGACTTTACATTTTTCTTCATTATTTCTGAGAATAGATAATATATTCACATAGTTCAAATTTTTAAATTAAGAAATGCATACTGAATAGTTTCTCCCCATTAGTTTCTCAAATATCTTTCCAGCTATTTACATACAAGTATGTATAATGTATGGTGTTTTGTACTTCTCTTTTCTCACAAGTGATAGAACACCATGAATCATGTACTCCATCTTCCTTTTCTTAATTAACAATGTATCCAAGAGCTCCTTCCTGTCAGTACACAGCTCCTCCCCCATTTCTTCAAGTGTATGGTATCACTGTATAGCTGTATCATAATTTATGTACCCACTTCAGCACTGATGGGACATTTAGGCAGTTTTCAATCTTTTCTTATTCACAATATTATCATGAAAAACGTTGGGCATACATCAATTTGCATGCATGTGGGCAAAATGAAAAAGTACAGAAAAGTTCCTTGAAACAGAATTGCTGGACCAAAATTTATGTGACTTCATAATTTTGATACTGTCAGTTAGTCCTTCATTGAGCTTGGAACAACTTACAATTTACACTCCCATCAGCATGAGTGGTGTGGGAGTTCCTGTTTTCTCACCAATGCAGCTGTCAAAGTTTGGGATCTTTACCAAATCTCTAATTTGCACTTTGAGAGAAGGAGTATATTTTTAAGTTATCTATATTTTATTTTCTCTTAACTATCCCTATCTTTTCCCTGTTTCTATTGGAATGTTTGGTTTTGTTCATTTGTACACACTCATTGGAAAGTTAGTCTTTTGTTTACAATGGGAGCTGCAAATTTTTCCATTTGTTATGTCTGTCATATATCATGTGACTTTGTTTTTAGTTTTTGCCAAGCACTAATTTTTTCTTTTATGGCTTTTGGGTCTAGTGTTATACTTAGAAAGGACTTTCTCACTCTGAACATGAAGACAGTATTAAGTAATGTGGGCAGGAACCTATAAAGGAGGAATGATGCAGTTGGGAGGACTGGTATCAGGAAGGCTGGTAAGCTTTTTGCAATAGTCTGAACAAATGATTAAGTTCTAATATAAGTAGCAGTATGATAGAACAAGAGATGAAAACTGAGCAGTTCTTGGTAACTGATCTGGGGGTGATGGAAAGGAATTCTTAAAAAGGACTTTTATCCCACATCCATAGCTAAAACGTCTCAATATTGTCAAAGAGCCACTTCTTTCCAACTTCGTCTATAGATTCAATGCCATCCGAAGCAAAGTATCAGCTAGTTATTTTGTGGATATTGACAAATGGATTCTAAAGTTTATATGAGAGGCAAAAGACCCAGAATAGCTAACACAATATTGACAGGGAAGAACAAACACCACCAAACCACTTGAGGTAATATAAATATGTACAGTAATCAAGACAGTGTGGTATTGGCCAAAGAATAGAAAACTCAATGGAACAGAGTAGAAAGCCTAGAAGTAGACCCACATAAATACAGCCAACTGTTCTTTGATAAAGGAGCAAAGGTAATACATTGGAGCAAAGATAATTTTTTTCAGCCAAGGTGCCAGAACAATTGGACATCCATATGCAAAAAGATGAATCTAGACACATATCTCACACCCTTCATAAAAATTAACTCAAAATGGGCCTAAATGTAAAATGCAAAATTATAAAACTCCTAGATGATAACACAGGAGAAAATTTGGATTATCTTGGATATAGTGATGACTTTATAAATATAACACAGAAGACATGATCCATGAAAGAAAGTTAAGCTGGAGTTCATTAATATTAAAAAACTTCTGCTCTATGAAAGACAATGTCAAGAGAGTGTGAAGATAAGCCACAGACTAGAGAAATACTTGCAGAAGATACACATATTGGATAAAAAACTGTTATCTTTGTATATGTTACACAGAGAACTTTTAAAACTCAAAAAGAGATTTCACTCATCTGTGGAGTATAAGAACAAAGAAAAAACTGAAGGAGCAAAACAGCAGCAGACTCACAAAACCCAAGAATGGACTAACAGTTACCAAGGGAAAGGGACTGGGGAGGATGGGTGGGAAGGGAGGGATAAGGGTGAGGGGTTTGAGGGGAAGAAAGGCGGCACTAGGATTAGCATGCATAATGTAGGGGGGGGCACAGGGAGGGCTATATAACACAGAGAAGACAAGTAGTGATTCTACAGCATATTACTACGCTGATGGACAGTGACTGCAATGGGGTATATGGGGCGAACTTGGTGATGGGAGGAGTCTAGTAAACATAATGTTCCTCATGTAATTGTAGATTAATGATAACAACAACAACAACAAAAAAAAAACTCAATAAGAACAACTCAGTTATAAAAATTGCCCAAAGACCTTAACAGACACCTCACCAAAGAAGATACACAGATTCTAAACAAGCGCATAAAAGATGCTCCACATTATATGTTGGAGAAATGGGCTAAAACAATGAGAAACCACTGCACACCTTTCAGAATGGCCAACATCCAGAACATGGACAACGCCAAATGCTGGTGAGGATGTGGAGTTGAAAACTATGTTGACACAAAAATCTGCACACAGATGTTTATAGCAACAATATTCATGATTGCCAAAACCTAAAGCAGCCAAGATGTCCTTTAGTAGGTTACTGGATAAACTGTGGTACATTTGGACAATGGAATATTACTCAGTGCCAAAAAGAAACAAGCTATCAAGACTGTACAATTCAACTACACAGCATTCTGGAAAAGGCAAAACTATGGAGTCAGTAAAAAGATAAGTGGTTGCCAAGGGGTTGGGGAGAGGAAGGCATTAACAGGCAGAGCATAGAGGATTTTTTAGGGCAGTGAAAATATTCTGTATGATACCATAAATGGTGGGCATAGAATACATGTAAATACACATTTTTTCAAACAACAGAAGGTACCAGACTGTAATGTAAAAAACTATGGACTTTGGGTGATTACGATGTGTCAATGTAGGTTCATCAATTGGAAGAAATGTATGTACCACTCTAGAGGGGGATGCTGATAGTGGGTGAAGTTATACATGTCTATGTAGGGAGTATATGGAAAAATTTCTGTGCTAATTTTGTTATGAACACAAAAGCTCTAAAAAATTAAGTTTATTTTAAAATAATGTTGAGCCTGGAAAAAAAGGATTTCTAAATATTTTTCTACTGTAAATTATCAGAACCCTATTCTTACTTTACACATACGAATAAATCTTTAAATATATTTTTGTTTGCTTCTCACAAACGCTTTGTGAACTCTAAGTTAAAAAAGAACAAAAGAAGGCTCAGAGGAGCTGAGTCAATGAAGGCCTCTCAACTAGTTAAGTTGTGGGAGCAAATTCTGAACTAAAGGATTCTAATTCCAAAAGTCCAAAATACTTCCATCTAAGAGAAGACTTCTAAAAGCCAAATATTTATCCTAAAGCAAATTTCCAAACGCTCGTTCATTATAAGCTTTAACCTAGCCAACTGTGTAAGGAAAAATATACATAGCCACTGACAGGCTGGCAATGACCTTTCTTGCAAGGGACAGCATATATTCTAAATTTAGGGAGTTAGTACTTGGCGTTAAAATATATTCTCTGAAGTAACGGTGGTATGGATGGTTTAAGTTTGCTTTTAAATAACATTGCAACACAAAATTAAAAGACGGGAACTGATCCATCCCTCAAAAAATAAAATGGAAGTGCCCAGAAGTCTGGGGGCCACCGCTCAGGATGCGTCCAGCTGTTTCTCTGAATGAGCCTCAACGAAGGCTGAGGGAGGGCGGAAAGGCCCGGGCTGGGGAACCGGGTTCCGGAGGCAGCTGTTCTCAAGGCGGAAGTGAATTGACTGACTCGAGCACCACAGACACACATCGACTCGGCGCTGCCGTCAACACCCTCCCCAAGCCGGCGGCTTGCCCTCGTCGAGGACACGGCGTCCTCCGCAACACAGCGCGGAGGACGGGCCGCGCTGGCGGGGACAAGCGCCCGGGAGCGGCCGGCGAGGGGGGCGCTGTCCTAGAGAGCTCCCGGCCGACCCCCCGGGCGCCCTTTGCGCATGCCCACCCCACCCAACCCACCCGGCTCACCAGGGGCTCCCGCTGCGGCTCCGGCCTTGGGTACCGTCTCCCTGGCGCCGGGACGCTAGAAGATGACACGCGAACTCTGTGCGACGGCAGCCGAAGCCCAGAATAATGGCTGACCCAGTTACGGAGACTTCCGGTTGCCGGCCTCTCCGTCCCTGGCTCTCTAGGAGACCACATCTCTATGGTTTATTGCTTTTCCCAGGCGACAAGGGGCGGGGCTCCTGGGCTCTGCTCTTCGTCCTGAGAACCGGTGGATGCTGCTGCGTTCCAGACCCGAAGGCTGCAGCGGTGAATGACGTATCCCAGGTCTTCGGGACTCTTGTTGCTTCTTGAAGGAGTTGGACCTATCTTGGCATGTACCACCTGATCTTCTAAGTAGAAGTGTATGAGCCTTACCCATCTTGAACATACTCATCTTTGGAGAGGCCCAAAAGAAGTGGTAGTTCTGAGGTCAGTCTGGTATCTCCTAGTCTTAGAACTGGCTAGGTTTCTGGGGAGCAGAGCAAAATGTTTAACAGAGACCCTTCCCAGTCCAAGAGGTTGTGCAGATACTTTTGGGCATTGCAAATAGGGAAGTAGTTTTGTTAATTAAAACTACTAATTTTTTTTCTTGAGTTTTTTTTGTTGTTGTCATTAATCTGCAATTACATGAGGAATATTATGTTTACTAGGGTCCCCCCTTCACCAAATCCCCCCCCACATATCCCATTACAGTACTGTCCATCAGCGTAGTCAGATGCTGTAGAATCACTACTTGTCTTCTCCATGCTACACTGTCTTCCCTGTGACCCCACTACATTATGTGTGTTAATCACAGTGCCCCTTAGTCCCCTTCTTCTGCCCTCCACACCCCCTTCCCTTTGGTAACCACTAGTTTCTTCTTGGAGTCTGTGAGTCTGCTGCTGTTTTGTTCCTTCAGTCTTTGGGTTTGAAGTGAGTCTCTTGTAGCCAGCATAGAGATGGGTCTTGCTTTTTTATCCATTCTATTATTGTGTCTTTTGATTGGTGCATTCAGTCCATTTACATTTAGGGTGATTATTGAAAGATATGTACTTATTGCCATTACAGGCTTTAGATTCATGGTTGCCAAAGGTTCAAGGTTAGCTTCTTTAGTATTTTACTGCCTAACTTAACTCGCTTATTGAGCTATTTTAAACACTGTCTGGTCATTCTTTATTTTTCTCCCTTCTTATTCCTCCTCCTCCGTTCTTTATATGTTGGTTGTTTTATTCTGTGCTCTTTTGTGCTTCCTTTAACTGCTTTTGTGGGTAGTTGATTTTATTTTTTGCCTTTAGTTAGTATTTTGTTGGTCTGCTTTCTTTGCTGTAATTTTATTTTCTCTGGTGACATCTATTTAGTCTTAGGAGTGCTCCCATCTAGAGCACTCCTTTTAAAATACCCCATAGAGGTGGATTGTGGGAGGCAAATTCCCTCAACTTTTGCTTGTCTGGGAATTATTTAATCCCTCTTTCATATTTAAATGGTAGTCATGCTGGATACAGTATTCTTGGTTCAAGGTCCTTTTGTTTCATTGCATTAAATATATCATGCCATTCTCTTCTGGCCTGTAATGTTTCTGTTGAGAAGTCTGATGATAGCCTGATGGGTTTTCCTTTGTAGGTGACCTTTTTCCTCTCTCTAGCTGCCTTTAAAACTCTGTCCTTGTCCTTGACCTTTGCCATTTTAATTATTATGTGTCTTGGTGTTGTCCTTCTTGGGTCCCTTCTGTTGGGGGTTCTGTGCACTTCCGTGGTCTGATTGATTATTTCCTTCCCCAGTTTGGGGAAGTTTTCAGCAATTATTTCTTCAAATACACTTTCTATCCCTTTATCTCTTCTTCTTCTGGTACCCCTATAATGTGGATATTGTTCCTTTTGGATTGGTCACACAGTTCTCTTAATATTGTTTTATTCCCGGCGATCCTTTTATCTCTCTCTGCGTCAGCTTCTGTGCGTAAAACTACTAATTTTAAGTAGAGTTAAATCCCACACAGATGAGATTGTTGGAAGACACTAAATTCTTTGAGTCAGATATTAGAAGCAGCTTCTGCTTGTTACCTACAGAATATGCTGTCTGTGCTCTATAGTCGCTTCTGCACACCTGTGATTTTTGTGCAACTGCTGAAGAATGATCCTGTCCACCTTGAAAGCCTCTCATCTCACGTGTGCACTGTAACGTCATTTTTTTTGGCCTTAGGGCTTTATCTGAAGCTTCAGAAGCTTGCCAGCCAGGTCTCAGGTACAGCCTGGAAGAAGTAGATGAGAATAATATCCCCAAGGGCTGCCCTGAAAGAACGACAAATAAGAATGAAGTGTTAATGCCTAAAATTCCTGTCTTTTGACAAGAAAATTCTTGGCTATGCTCTACATGGGTCCTTAGTGATGCCGGGGCTCTTGCTCATGGAGTCGAAGAATGAGCTTCACAAACACTCAAGGTAGGAAAGCAAGGGAGAGGCTTTTATTTAGAGAGAAAGAGATAGGACAGAGCTCCTGGTGCACACCAGGAGGGGACAAAAGAGCCTGGGGTTGGGTGTTGTCTAGGGGTTTTCATCTTTAGGTTTAATTGAGAGGTGTTTAGTTACTATTGGTCCCAGCCTAAATACTGCCTTTTTGTTTTAACCAATCCCACCGAAAATTGCCTATATTCCTAATTTGATATTTTAATCCTAAAGAATCTGTATGACTGATTTTGCTTGGTGTTTAACACAGAGTTTGGGTAGGAGTTTTTCTGCACATTCTTACATTGTTCTGACCATAATTATCCTGCTTTGGTTCTTCTGGAGGCCTTTACCCTACTCTGTCTAAACCCCTGGTCCCTGTCTCATTAGGGGACCCAAGTGAGATTGTGCCTCACTTGGCCACAGTGAAACCACTCAATAATCTACCTTTTTTGGATTTTCATCTATTGTCAGTCTTATTCTCCCTGCTCCCTCCTTTCTGCTCCATGGGATTACTTTCCAAATAACCTACCTCCCCCTATGTCCTTATCACAGGCTTTGCTTTTGGACAAACCAAAACTTATAATTAGCGTTGTAGATTCAGTCAAAATTGTGTCCTTCTACGAGGCCCAATTTTGTGAACACCCATGTAGTAGTCTGAATGAAAGACTAATTCTCTTGTTTCAGAGGATCCAGAAGCCAATTCTTTAACTTCTAAGTATATAGGACCTGACACACAGATTAGTAAACTTTATTAACATAACACATCTCATGCTCCTGAATTACCTATAGGGTAATAAGGGAAAGGGAGGATCCCTAGCCAAAGATGAGTTCTGGTTAAAATTTCTCCCCACCATGGGAAGGAATCCAAATCCTACTAGAAGACTGTAGCAAACAAGGCCTCATGTAAAATGCACCTTGATGCAGCGCAGTCTGGGGGCCTCGGCAACAACAATAAGTGGATCTTTATTCCAGTGTCTCACTGTGAATGTAACACTGCTCCCTGTTTATCTGTTTTCTTCTTCCACTACCACTGTTTCTTCATTCCAAACTTTCTGTCCCTCTCGTAGCTCCTTCTGCCTTATTGTTTCTATTCCCTCCTACTTTCTTCTTCTTCACCGTCCTCCCCTTCTCCTCCTCCGCCCAGGCTCCTAATGACTCAGCATCATTTTGGCTTCAGCTTCTGCTCTTAACAGCCTTATCTTTGCCCTATTTACAATTCAGAATTTGCACACACAAAGAGGGACTCTAGTTGGCTCGGCACGCCGGTGTGTGGCCCTGGTTAAGAAGTGATTGAGAGGAACCAACATTTTCATGTTTAGTGATTATGACCATGATTACTCTGCCTTCTATTTTTGACTTGAGGTGCTTAAGATCACCATGTTTTACAAATTTCTCTACTGCTTTCCAATTGCTCTTCTAACTTGGTTGTGATAATTCAACATCTGTCTGTCCTGATATCTCTTCTAGCCTCTTCAATTGATCAACTTCCCCTTCTTTATATTTTTCTGTCCATGAAGAAAACACTGAACTATTTCTGAATTTCCCTCCTGTTCTCAGTGTGTCACCTCATTCCTTACCCATAATGTGAAGGCTTTTGGTTTTGTTTTTATCTTTAGGTAAAGTCTCTTGGTGATTCTGTTTCCACAGGGGAAGAACTTAGGGAAAGTAGTTCTCATATTTTCTTTTGATAAATGAAAACAGGATGGAGATTTTTCTTCAAAGAAGGAAATTTCTAAAAGATAGGAGTCATCTGATGGGACACAGGATGAATCTATGGAATGGTTCCTGGGGAATCAGAAGTTGGAGATGCCTGTGAAGATTCTTTAAAGAAGCCAGAAGGCAAACTCTCAGATGAAGAAGGGAATAGATTGGAAAGTGATTTCTTGGAATTAATACACAAAAATTTTGACAAATATACACAAAAAGATGGATATGATGAATATGAATATAAGGAACTTAGGGAACATTCTAATATGTCCTTCTGAACATTAAGGAGTTTTAAAGGGACAGAAATTCTATCAATGTGATGAATGTGGAAAGCTATCAGTCAGAGCTTACACCTGAGTGGCCACCAGATCTCCACTTTGAGTGTAATGAATGTGGTAAGATTTCCAGGTAGAACTTTCTATCCAGTTGTAATTTATCTATCTATCCTAAATTGTAATTTTCATATTTAGAAGTTCAGTTTGGGGATTTTAAATTTCTTTCGTAGCTGTTAAACAAGTTCAATCTTTCCTTTAGGTTTTTGATTATGTGACACAGTCTCAGTAACTTTTGATGTCCCTGTTGGTTGATTTCTAATGTCTGTATCAGTTCTGGTTCAGTTTTGATTGATTTTGTGTGAAATGTAAATACAGGTTGTATTTTCCTGCTTGTTTGCATGCCTGGTAATAAGTATATGCCAGATATTTTGAACTTTTGACGGGTAGGATATTTTTTGTTCCTATAAATATTCTTGAACTTGTTTTAAGGGGGCTGTGCAGTTAAGTTATGTTATATTCACAGAACATACTTCATTTATTTCAATGCTTTTAAATGTATTGAGGTTTGTGTTATGGCCTAGTACATCCACTAGGTCTATATGGATGTTCCACATGCATGTGGGAGAAATGTATATTATGCTATTCTTAGGTATAGTGTTCTAGAGATATATATTAGGTTTTGTGTTAAGTGTTAGAAGTGCCCAAGGCT